ATGCCCAGCTAATTTTTTGTATTTTTAGTAGAGACGGGGTTTCACCATGTTGACCAGGATGGTCTCGATCTCTTGACCTCGTGATCCACCCGCCTCGGCCTCCCAAAGTGCTGGGATTACAGGCTTGAGCCACCGCGCCTGGCCAAGTAATTAATTAATGTACACTCTTCTTGCCTATAGTCATTAAGAAATTAGGATAAATCTAACCTTTGCCCACATATTTCTTAGAGAATGCACCCTGCTTTAAGGAAGGCCAATATAAAACACCTTAAATTTGCAAGTAAATCAATGGCCAATGTTTATTTTCTTAAAGGATGTCCATATGGTGTTTCGAGTGAATACTTCTAGGAATGTGGCAACAGTGTTGAAGTGAGAAATGCTTGTGTTATTAAACTACATCATCATAACAGCCATTGTTACACATCTCTGTGGCACTAACTCCTAATCTACACACTATAATTTTATTCACTCCTCTATTATGAAAGGGTATATTTTTAAATCAATATAGTTGGTATATATAGGTGTATACTTGGTTTCTCATATGAATTTTATTTCTCTGATTGGAGGGGCAAAATAAACTAACAGAAAAATGCCTTTGACAGATGAAGGCCAGTAAAGAGGACATTTGTCCCTGCAGGCTTAGTTTTCCTGCCTGAAACTGTGCTAGTCTGTGGAGCTGTTGTGTGCATTCTTAGAAAGCACAGTAGTGATGGGAGCTGAGAACTTACTCCTTACTCAACTTTGCCTACTTACGTGGAGCCATCATAAGGTTGTCAAGAGGAATCATACCGATAATCACTAGAAAATAAAATCCTTGATTCTGGGTCAACCCAGGAACCAAGAGAAGGTGACAATTGACCACGGTTGTGGTGTGCATAGCTGTATACCAGGACCACCAGAAACTTTAAAATCACATATGTGATTCATGTGTGGTCTGAATTATACTTATTTTGGTCAGTGCTATTCAGAGTCAGACCAACTTAGATTCAAATACAGCTTGTGCCATTTACTAGTGAATTTAGGCAAAAATTCTTAAAAATCAGGGCATCAGTTTCCAACATACCACAAAAAGAAGGATAAATACACATCTTATAAGACATTTTGAGAATTGAGTTAAAATAAAATATGAACCCAGCAGGTGCCAGGGAAAAAGACAACATTCAATAAATGTTAGCTCCTTAACACATCCATCCCCTTCATACGTACATATATGAATATGGCTAAGAATATATATATTATGCATGTGTGTATTTTAGTCTTTAAAGACAACCAGAATACTCTTTTTAAAAATCCAGTTCTTGGCCAGGTGCAGTACCTCATGTCTGTAATCCCAGCACTTTGGGAGGCCAAAGCGGGTGGATCACTTGAGGTCAGGAGTTCAAGACCAGCCTGACCAACATGGTAAAACCCGTCTCTATCAAATGATACAAAAATTAGTAGGGCGTGGTGGTGTGCTCTTGTAGTCCTAGCTACTCAGGAAGCTGAGGTGGGAGAATCACTGAGCTCAGGAGGCTGAGGTTGCAGTGAGTGGAGATCACGCCACTGCACTCTAGCCTGGGCAACAGAGTGAGACCCTGTATCAAAATAAATAATAAAATAAAATAAAAATCCTGTTATTTTAAAGAGCTCTTTTCAAATACAGGCTGTCGCTCAAGTCATATCAATTGTGGTAATGTATATGTACATACTATTAAGGGGTAAATAACACCTACCTCCCAGAGTTGTTGTATGAATTAGAAATGATCCTTGTAAAACACCTAGCATATTACCTGACATTGGTACTTAATATATTGCATATACTGTTATCATTTATGTCATTATCATTAACAATCATCATCATGATCACCGTTATCATTATCACTAAACAAAGCAGCTGGTAACTGCACATAGAGGAGATGTATATATGTATAGCTCACTGCTCCCTTTTGCTGTCTGATTTACGAGGAAGACAGTTTAATTCTACCACAACCTTAATTTGCCTATGCATAACTGAGGTGATACCTTTAAGAGGCAAAAAGAAAGAGTGTGTCAGCTGAGTGGCAGTCACATGGTGGGCATTTTAATCAAAGTCTCTTCCTAGGCTGCTTTTTCACCGTCATCTGCTAGCAAAACTTGTTCAGTCCTTTCCTCTTGTTTCCTTTCTCTCTGCCCTCTTACTTAGATAGTTTTTGCCGTGTTTCCACATTCCTCTTTCCTGAGCTGAGACCTTTCCCTCTCTTCAGCACATAGAACAAACACATTTGCCTCTAGTCCTCTAGGTAGCTAATTAACATAACATGTTCTGAGGTTTTGTGTGTGTGTGTGTGTGTGTGTGTGTGTGTGTGTGTGTGTGTGTGTGTTTAACTTATGACTTGGTATTGTTTTTCCTAGCTCTGACTTGGCAACTATATTTATTTGAAAAAACAAAATGTGCTATGATTTGCTTTTCTAATTTTCAGAGAGCTCTTCTAGTTACAAGGGGGTTGGATTTTCCAGTGGCTGGTGCCAGCAAGCTGGGACTGCACACAGAGCTCTGTGCTAGGCAAGGAAATACTTCATTAGACTTGTATTCCATGAAGGCACTTTTGCTTCTTAACGCCTGTGATTTTAATTAAAACCTGGAAAGTAAAGAATCTTCTAGTTGTATTAATGCTTTCATTTCCATTAGGACAGTGTAGTTTATAAACAGTATCTGGGTTTATAAATTAGTCCTCATGCGAATAATAAGTACACAATGTCACATAGAAAGCAAAACTCTGCCAGCCCATCTGTTCTCTCACTCTTTTTTCTTCGATTGTTGTTTTCCTCTTTGGAGAATCATGGAGGAATGGTTCTTGATTTCTTTTATCTCTATCTATCTCTGATATCCTTTAACCATGTCTCACAGGACTGCGTATGCTAAAACCAGATTTTATTCCGGGTTGATAGACAGGGGCTTTGGTAGTTCATTTGTATGTAAATCTAAAGTAAAAATAAATAAAATTCAGTCATTAAATTCACTTGGGAGACAAAATTTTCTTTTTCTATAAATCTTGATATCTTAGAACATTTTAGCTTTTCAGAATACAAAAGTGTATGGGTATACACACACGCACACACAAACGCATACACATGTGTTTATATTTCTAAAGTAGAAAGGTTACCAGACACAATTACTTTATGTACAGTGCTTAATTAATGGGTTATCATTTTCCTTCATGTACATTAAGAAATGTAACCAGATAAACAATTATGGAATTATAGTTAAGATTCTGACAAAAATACATAAAAATACTATTCTATGAAATTTCTGTTTATGCAAAAGCAAATGATCAATATTATTTATTTCAGTAAAAGCTTTCAATTAGAGAAAATTATATAGGGGTCAAAATGAACCAGGAACTGGACATAAGTCAGTTCTGTAGACATATTGGTCTCTGGAATCCTTTTTGAAAACAGGGCAGTATAAATTATAAATAAACGTAGACATATTTAAAGAAGTAAGTATTCTATGGGGAGGAATAAACTCCTAGAACTACTTTTTATTGATAAGAGACTTAGGTGGCTTCCATTCCATCAGCACTCAGGAGTCTGACTGCTTCCAGAGCTTGGAAGAATTGACTTTACGGGTGTATATCCTTTCTGCAGGTACTTGCTGAGAACTCAGCCTCGGGTGGGCTATGAAACTCTTTGGTCGAGATAATTTTCAACTGGTATTTATGTCTTGTCTATTTGAAATAATTGAATGACACAAAGAAGTGACCCTTTTATGAGGGTTATGACATCTGAGTACCCACATGGGTTACCGGTATCACATGTGGGGCCAGGGCTCTCTCCTCTTAACACTGTGTTGTGTTTCTGTCCATTTCTTTTTGCATAGAGAGTTAAGGTCCAGGCTCATTTTGTCTGTGTCTTGTAAGCATAG